CGTCCGCCAAAGACCCATCCCCCGTTTCCCCGAACCGCCCCCGCGCCCCCCGCCGATAGCCTAGGGGGGAGGCATCCGTCATCTCGCCGTCGTTGAAGTTCAACTTGACCTATTTTTGCCACAAGGACAAAACATGGTCCTGTACTACCTCCTTGCGGCCGCTGCCGCGGCGGCGCCGCTCACGGAGCCCTTCGCCTGGCTCAATGGCCTCCTGCCGACGACGACCGCGCCTCCGCCGCACTCGCCGGACCCGCTCGTCGCGACGCGCTGGGCGTCGTCCGTGAACTCGAGCCTGCTCCAGGTCTACGCGAGCCCGCCCGTGGAGGCCTGGGGCGTGCCGGCAACGGGGGCGCACGGCGCCGCGAGCCTCGTCGGCAACAACGGGTCCTGCGCGGTCTCGGGCGGCGCCGCGCTCGTCGTCGACTTTGGCGTCGAGCGCGCGGGCTGGTTCGAGTTCCGCCTCGCCGGCGACGCGAGCGGCCTCCTGGCGGCCATCAGCGAGTACGACTACCCCTGGACGGGCAAGACCATGGCGCCCGTCGCCTACGACGGCGGCTGGTACCGCCTGGAGACGAACGGCGAGCTCTACGAGGGCGCGCGGTACGCGTTCTTATTTCCCAAGTCGGACGTCGACGTGGTCGAGGCGCGCGTCGTCGCCCGCGTGCGGCCCGCGCGGCCGCGGCGTCCGAAACCCGCCATCGACCTTCGAAACCCGTCTCGCGCGTAGGTTAATTACACGGGGGCCTTCCGCTCGAGCGACGCGACTCTGGAGAAGTCCTGGTACGCGGCGGCCTACGGCGCGCGGCTCAACATGAACGCGGACGACTTCGGGTCGATCCTCATGGACCGCGGCGACCGCGTATCTATTCAAGGCGACGGCCACCCGACCATGGCCGCGGCGCTGGCGGCCTTTGGGGCGCCGGCGACCTGGGACCTCGTGAAGCTCATGCTCAACAAGACGGACAGCGGCTGCGCCGGCTGCCGCGTCGTCGACGACTCGCTCATGTCGTACCCGGTGCTCTGGACCATGTCCGTCAACGACTACTACTGGGCCTCGGGCGACGCGGAGACGTTCGCGCGGTTCGCGCCCGACGTGGCGACGATTCTGGATAAGGCGCTGGCGACGTTCCTCGCGACGCCGCCCGTGGAATTCATGGGCTGGGACGACCGGCTCGACAACGGCTTCTGCGGCGAGTGCACGGGCGAGACGCGCCTCGCGTTCAGCGGCCTGCTCGTGCGCGCCGTGTCCGACTTCGCGCAGTTGCTCGGCTTCCCGAAGACGCGGGACGCGCTGCCGGCCGCGGCGGAGCTGGCGCGACGGTACTCGCGCGCGGCGGAGAACGCGACGCGCGCGCTGCGAGCGAGTGAGCCGGCCTACGGCCTCCACTCGGCGGCCTACGCCATGACGGCGCGCACGGGCCTCGTCACGGCCGGCGAGGCCGAGGCGCTGGTGTCGTCGCTCTTCCGCGACGCGGCGGCCGCGTGCTCGTGGTCGCCGTTCAATAGCTTTTGGATCCTCCAGGCCCTCGGCGACGGCGGCTTCGGCGACGACGCCCTCGCCTACGCGAAGCTCTGCTGGGGCGGCATGCTCGAGCTCGCGAACGGGTGCTTCTTGGAGCTGTTCAGCCCCGAGTGGCTCCGGTTCTCCGACGCGGGCGACAAGCTGCCGACGAAGCCGAGCGAGTGCCACCCCTGGTCCAGCGGCGTCGCGCCCTGGCTCACGAAGGTCGCCGCGGGCCTGAGCCCCCTCGACCCGGGCTACGGCGCCCGGGCGCTCGTCGCGCCGCTCTTCTGGGGCTGCGCGGGCGCCGCGGTCGCGGGCGCCGTCGCCGCGCCCGCGGGCGACGTCGCCGTGGACGCGACGTGCGTCGGTGGCGTCGCGACGGTCGCCGCGTCGGCGCCGCGCGGCGTCGCCGTGGTCGTCGGCCTGCGGAAGACGCTCGGCGACGGCTGCGTCTTGACCGGGGCGTTTGTTGATCACGAAGCGGCGCCGCTCCTCGACGCGGAGACGTCGGGCGCGGCCGCGGGCATGCACCCGCTCAACGCCGCGGGCCACGCCTTCGTGCGCGCGAACGGCACGGTCGCGGCCGCCTACGACTGCCCGTCGGACGCCTCGGACGGCACCGCGCCGACGTACGCGCCGCCGACGTACGCGGCCGCCGTCGCTCCGTTGGACCGCGCGACGGGCGGCCGCTGGCCCGGCGCCTACGGCGGCGACGGCTACGCGCTTTTCGGCATCGACGGCGCGGAGCGGCTCCCGTCCTACGTCTCGAACGTCACGGCCTACAAGCGCGAGCCGAAGCGGACGACGTACGCGGCCAACGAGACCGCCGCGGCCGCGCGGCTCTGCGTCGACGCCGCGTGCTCCGCGCGAGCCCTCGGCTCCCTCGGCGAGGGCTGCGGCGACCAGGGCAGGACAAGAGAGCGAAATTCCCAACTTCAAAGGCTCCTTTCTCGGCCGTTTTCCACTCGTTTTGGCTGATCTTTGGACGAGCGATCATCTCTCGGAACGGCCTCGAAGCGTGGATGCTTTTTCCGGAACGCGCGCGCGCAAAACACTCACGTTGAAGCGACGTTGAATCTCTCTTGTCCTGCCCAGGCGGCGACGGCTGCCAGGGCACCGTGCTCGACGTGTCGCTCGACGGCGCGCCGGCGTCGCTCCGCGTGGCGCTCTACTTCGTCGACGCGCCGGCGTCGGACGATCGGGACGATTCGCCGCTGCCGGTCCCGACGCCCGGCGGCGGCGCGGCGTCCGTCGTCCGCGCGCTCGACCTCGCGACGGGGTCCCTCGTCGCGCCGGAGGAGAAGATCGCGGATTTCGCCGGCGGCGCCTACTGGACGCTGGCCTACGCCAAGGGCGTCCGCCTCCGGATCATGCCGCTCTACGGCTCCGCGCGCGTCTCGGCGATCTTCTTCGACTCGTCCTAGGAGAGGGGTAACTTTTGGTTCAACGACGTGTTAACATCGGTTCAAATTGAACTTCAATGTTGCCCACGTGTCTCGCGAAGTGGAAAGCTGCGCCAGACGCCTTGGCCTCGTCGCAGGCTCTCGCATCTTCGCATCATGCGCGCGGTGCGTACATTTACGTCTCGCGCGGCGGCGCCACCGCCGCGCTGCCGCATGCCTACGCCGCGCCGCCTGCCGCGCCACACAAACCCCGCCATTTGGCGATCACTGTCAACCGTCGCGTACGAACGGCCGCGCGCCGCGCCGACGACGCGGTCGCTGTCGACGACGCCGACGCCCGCGGAACCCACCGATAGCCCCGGCCGCCCGGTCGCGACGACGACGCGCGACGGGCGGGAGCCGCGCGCGCCCGCGCACGCTCCGTGCCCGGACGGCTCCGTGCCGCACGGCATGTTCGGGGGCTTCTCGAGCGCCAAGGAGCTCACGGACTTCACGCGCGTGCTCGAGGAGTACGAGGTGCCGACGCCGGAGCGCATCGAGCAGAAGAACCAGCGGCGGCGCTTCAGCGAGTTCTCGAACGAGACGCTGGCGATCATGGCGAGCATCGGCGTCCACGGCGCGTTCAAGGAGCGCATGCTCCGGGAGATCATGCGCGTGGACAAGTGCACCTACGTCGAGGCCTACGTCGTGCTCGCGCGCATGAACCGCCAGCTCGAGGAGGGCACGTCGCTCCACAAGTTCCCCTACCAGCTCGCGATCGCGCTCGCGTGGGGGTTTGGGGTGGTGGTGATCCCGCTGGGGGTCTTCGACAAGAGCAGCGCGCTCTGGTTTGCGGAGCACTTTGTGCACGCGGAGATCCCGCCGCCGGAGGAGATCGACACGATCTGGAAGGTGGGCACGTGGTCGTGGGCGTGGATGGAGCCGATCATCGGCACGTGGTCCTTCATCCTCCTGGCGCTCCAGCTCGTGCGCGCGAACATGACCATGATCGACGCCAAGCCCTTCAACGAGCGCATCATCACGACGCGGGCCGACCACCTGCACCAGTCGTTCCCGCAGTACGAGCGCGAGATCACGCGGGACTACTCCAAGTCGGACCCCTTCGGCCGCGACTCCTTCCGCGTGCGCCACGGCTACCCGGCCAACTCCGTCGTGCCCCTGAACCGGTCCCGCTAGACGTTTTCGCGCTTAGAACCCCATGGAGATGAGGCCGAGGTAGTCGTCCTTGATCGTGCCCACGGCGGTGATCTGCGTCGCGTCGCACATGACGCCGAGGAGCCGCAGGCGCACGACGCACTTGGTCTTGATCTCGACCTCCTTGTCGTCGGACACCCAGGAGTCGACGTCCGCGTCGTAGCCCTCCTGGAGGTCCGGCGGCATCGCGTGCCGGCTCACGAAGACCGTCAACGGCCCCGCCTCCGTGAAGAAGCCGAGCTCGTTGACGTGCGTCACGACGGCGTCGAGCACCTCGTTCTTGAAGGGCCGCAGCAGGATGGCGCTGTAGCGCGCGTTCACGCTCACGCAGCCCGTGTCGTAGTCGACGATGCCGGTGTCGACGTCGTCGTCCTTGACGTCGAGCACCGCGACGACGTAGCCCTCGCGCCCGAGGCACTTGCCCTCGACGTTCTTCATGATCTCGTCCTTGATGAAGGACTTCATGCGCCCGCCGAAGAACTGCGGGTGCAGCAGCATCTCGTAGATGAGGTCCGTCTTGTAGAAGAAGACCATGGCCGCTCGGCGGCGCGTCGCCGCGCGAGCGCGGGACGGGGCGGCGCGGCGCGGTCCGCTGCTTATGTAAGTGGCAACGGCGCGCTCACTCGGTGGGTCGGTCGCGCTCGCGCGCGCGCAAGTCGTCCGCGACGACGTTTGGGCACCTCGACGGCGACGCGATTGGCTCGAGCGGCGGCGCCTCGACGCCGTCCGCGACGCCGTCCGCGACAGGCCTCGCGACGCCGTCCGCGACGCCGTCCGCGACGCCGCCCGCATACTGTCCGCGTACGCCGTACGGCGACGCCCGCCGCGGACATCGCGCCGCGCCGCGTTACCCGGCGCGTCGCGCGGGCGCCGGTATGTCCCTAGCAGACGCCCTCGAGCTCCTTCGCGAAGGCGACGTTGTTGGCGAGGACGTAGAGGTCCGGCGTGTCCTTGTCCTCGAGGATGTCGAAGGCCTTGCCCTTCATGCCCGCGACGTCGACGTTTGGGTTCTCGAGGAGCGAGTCGAGCACGGGCCGCTTCGCCTCGTCCCAGACCGCGAGCTCGACGAGCTTGGAGCCCGTCGGGTCGCTGTCGAGCGTGAAGTTGAGCCAGATGAGGCGCTCCTTGAGGGCCTCGAGGGGCGACGCCGACGCGTGGACGCCGTTGTTCGAGTTGTTCGGCGCCTCCTCCATGCCCAAAGCCTCGTGCTGCGCGAGCATCTTCGCGCGGATGGACGAGGGCTCCGCGTCCGCGGGGTTCGTCGCGCCGATGACCTCGGCGCGGAACTTGGCCCAGCTCAGCACCTCCGGGTCGAAGGCGACGACGAAGAGGCGCACGGACGCCTCGGGCTTCGTGAACTGCGCCTTGAGCGCCGGGTAGAACCCGTTGACGCAGTAGACGGCGGCCTCGCCCTCCGCGTTCGACATCTCGTCGTAGTCGTCGCCGTCGGGGTCGCCGCCGCCGCCCTTGACCTTGGCCACGTAGACGTCCTTGGCGACCTTGACCTTGTCCGCGACGAGCCACAGATTCAGCAAATCGCGCTCGCTCACGGGCTCGGCCTCCGCGCCCGACTCCGCGTCGCCGGGCGTGCCCAGGCTCAGGGCGCAGTCCTTGGCGTTGAGCACGGACCCGTTGGCGACGCAGTCGTCCCAGGGCTGGCCGAACTTCTCCGCGAACGCCGCCTTCTTCTCGTCGCTCACCTCCGTCTCCGAGGGCGCGGCGACGAGCGCCGCGTTGGCGACGACGTCGTAGTGCTTGTCCACGAGGTCGCCCTCGGCGATCTGCTCGCCGCTCTGGCTGCACTCGCCCAGCACGGCCAGGCCCTTGACGCTCGTCAGCTCCTTGCGCACGAACTCGATGCTCGCCGGCGCGTAGGCGTGGGGCTTGACGAAGACGAGGGCCAGGTTCGCGCGCACGGCGAGGTCGTGGGGGATGCGCTCCTCCGGCGCCTTCAGGTCCGTGCCGTCGGGCAGGCTGCAGTTCGCGCCCATGGCTGCCCGGCGCGACGAGAGACGGGCAACAGCGCCGCGCTCAGCTCGTTTTATAGGTAGATGCGGCAGGGCAACGTGAGCTCTGCCAAGCTCTGCCGCCTCGCCGCGGCCTCTTCCACCTGCCTCGGCGCGGCTGCGATGGGCAAGCGCGGCAACTTCAGCGACGCGCCGCCGCCGGAGGCGTCGGCGAGCGGCTTCTCCGCGGCGAGCGGCTTCTCGAGCGGCTTCTCGTCGGCGAGCGGCTTCTCCGCCGAGGCGGCGCCGCCGCCGCCCCTGCTCGGCGGCCCGGTGCCGCCGCCGCCGCTGCTGGGCTTCGGCGGCGCGGCGCCGCCGCCCGTGGGCCCGCGGAGCACGCACATGGTCGACCGCGACGGCCGGCCGCCGCCGACGCTCGGCCTGTCCGCGCCGCCGCCGCCGCCGCCGGCGCCGGCGGCCGCGTCGGGCGCCGTCGCGGAGCTGCTCCAGAAGATGGCCGCGAGCGGCGCGCTCCCCGCCGGCGGCGGGCCGGCCGCGCCGCAGCAGGCGATCCTCGCCAAGGACAAGGCGCGCGTCGCGCGGGCGCTCGAGAAGAATCTGGCGTTCCTCGAGAAGCTCGACGCGTCCGGCGGCGGCGGCGACGACTACGCGTCGCACAACGCCTACGGGTCCGCGGCGCCCCAGGCCCAGGGGCGGCCCGAGAACCGCGCGGGCCTCGGCGCCAAGGGCGCCAACAAGGGCGTCGCGCCGACGGCCGCGTCCGGCGAGAACTGCTCCGTCTACGTGTCCGGCCTCGACGGCGCCGCGTCCGAGAGCCACCTCGAGGCGCTCTTCGCGCCCCACGGCCGCGTGAAGAAGGTCAAAGTCTACAAGGACGACACGGGACGACCCAAGGGCGACGCCTTGGTGACCTTTGCGAAGGCGGGCTCCGCGCGCCAGGCCGTCGCGAAGGTGCACGGCGCGCCGCTCGGCGCCGCGGTCCTCAGCGTCGCCATGGCGACGTTCCACAGCGACGCGGCCTTGGCCGGCGGGCCCATCGCGAGGCCCGCGGACGAGCACTGGGACGTGGTCGTCGGGCGCGCCGCGGCCGCGGCCGTCGCCGCGCGGCGCGAGACCGCGCGGCCGCCGTCGCCGCCGCCGCCGCTCGCCGTCGACAACCTCGAGGAGGCCCTGCAGGCGCACCGCTACCCCGTCGTCGTGCTGCGCAATCTCTATGATATCGCCCAGTGCCGGCTGCGGCCGCGGCGCGACTTCCTCGACGAGCTCGAGGGCGAGATTCGGGGCGAGTGCGGCAAGTTCGGCGGCTCCGTCGTCGGCTGCGTGGCGCCCAAGCACCCGGACTACGCCGGCGCCGTCGCCGTGAGCTTCGACACGGTCAAGGCCGCGGAGCTCTGCGCCTGCGACATGAACGACCGCTGGTTCGACAACGTGCAGATCCTCGTGGAGCGCCGGGGCACGTGGGAGGACGTCGCCGCGGTCGCCGCGCGGTCCCAGGTCGGCGCGATGCGCCACCCGAAGCTGGACGACGCCATCGCGCCCAAGGACGCCGTCGTCGCCGTGCTCCGCAACGTCTACACGGCCGCCGAGGCGGACGACGGCGGGCCGGGCTTCTTCCCGGGCCTGGAGGACGAGTTCCGCGCGGAATGCGCGAAATACGGCGGCCTCCGGTCCGCGCGCGCGGTGCCCGCCGAGCCGGCGTTGGCGGGCTGCGTCGTCCTCGCCTTCGACGGCGAGGCGGCCTACGAGCGGTGCCGGGAGGACATGGACGGCCGCTGGTTCGACTACCGGCGGTTGGTCGTCGAGCGGTACGCGCCGCCGCGCGCGGACGCGGCCGCGGGGCTCGACGCGTTCTTCGACTCCCTAACCTAGGGTGCTGTGTCTCCGAATTAGGCGCGGCGCGCGGCCGCGGCTCAGTTTGCCGTTGGGCCCCCTCTCTAGATGTTGACCTTCTGCTTCTGCGCCTCGAGCTTGTCGACCATGACCGCCTCCTTGACGGCCTCGGACGACTCGATGAGGTCGACGCTCTCCTTGATCTCGACGCGCGCGCGCACGGCGGCCTTGACCTTGTGCGCGGCCATGCGGTTCACGTAGTGGAGCTCCGCGCGCTTCTCCTGGACCTCGGACGCGCGCTGCATCGCGCGGAGCGTCGTGCCCACGAGGTCCCGGTCGTACTTGACGGGCCGGTTCCGCCGCTTCTCCATCTCGAAGGTCGTGTCCACCGTCATCTCCTTGCCGTGGACCTTGCGGAACGCCTTCGTCCACCGCACCTTGCGCGGGTTGCGCTTCAGGTTAAAGTTCTTGTGGCACTTGGACCGGCAGAAGTGGAAGAGCTTCGCGTCGTTGCGCGCGAAGGCGATGCCGTGGCCCGGGTAGATCGGCGACGAGCAGAAGTAGCACTTGCCGACGCGCATGGTCGAGGCGGGGCGGCGCTCGGGGCGCGCGACGACGAGCACGGCCTGTGATCGCCAAGTTTTTGGACTGCAACAATCGGTTCAACATTGCGTCGAGGCGATGCCCCAGCCTCTGAGACCGCACTGAAACAGCACGAGCATGGAGGCCCTCGTGCCCGGCGAGGAGGTCGCGGAGCTCGCGGGCGAGGGGAGCGCCGTGCGCGGCCACGGCACCTACGTCTGCCGCGGCGACACGTCCCTCGTGAGCTGCGGCGCCGGCTACCTCGAGCGCGTGAACAAGCTCGTGAGCGTCGTGCCCGTGCGCGGGCGCTACGGCGGCGAGGTCGGGGACCTGGTCGTGGGCACGGTGGTCGAGATCGCGCACAAGGCCTGGAAGGTCGACGTCGGCGCGTCGCGCCTGGCCACGCTCGCGCTGTCGAGCGTCACGCTCCCGAACGACGCGCAGCGCATCCGGACGCACGCGGACGCGCTCGCGATGCGCGCGCTCTACGCCGAGGGCGACGTCGTCTGCTGCGAGGTCATGGCCGTGCACGGCGACGGGTCCGTGCACCTGCACACGCGGTCGAACCGCTACGGCAAGCTCGGCAACGGGCGCCTCGTCGCCGTGAACTCGCACCTCGTGCGGCGCCTGCCGCGCCACTTCGTCGCGCTGCCCCGGGACGTCGACGTCGAGCTCGCCGTGGGCAACAACGGCGTCGTCTGGGTGCAGCGCGCGCTCGACGCGGCGTGGATCGACGCCGAGGCCGCCGAGACGGGCGGCGGCATCGGCGACAGCGACGCGCTGCTGAGCGCCGAGGCCTGGCGCCGCGTGCGGGCGCTCCACGACGCGCGGCCCCTGGACGACGAGGCCGCGGCGCGCTGCGCGCGCGCGCGGAACGCCGTCGCCGTCCTGGGCGCGGCCGGCGCGTTGGTCAACGCGGAGAACGTGCTCCGCGTCTACCGCGCCGCGGAGGCGGAGCGGCTCGCGCCCAAGGACATGGTCGCCGGCGCGCACGCGCAGCGGCTCGCGGCCGTCGTCGTCGGCGACCTCGCCTACGGCGCGCGGAAGCGCCGGAAGCGCCGCCTCTCGGACGACGACGACGACTTCGCGCTCGACGGCCCCTAAGAGGGCGCTTATCTTCGAAGGGAGGGAGGGGGGATGCTTGGGGGGGGAGCGCCGCCGCCTAGAAGTAGGCGTCCTGGTCGCCGTAGGTGTCGTAGGTCTGGCCGCACTTGTCGCAGGCCGCGGGGCACGCCTTGTACGCGGAGATCGCGTCCGTGTTCGTCTTCGAGCACAGCCGGTCCAGGTTCGCGCCGTTGACGATGCGGCCCTCGAGCCAGTGGCAGTCCTTGTACGCCTTGTTGAAGTACCAGGACTCGCTGTCGACGCAGTCGCCCGGGCAGTAGGGCGTGCGGATCGCGATCTTGTTCGACTTGGCGTCGCCGCGGCGGAACCGCGCGAGGTAGTTCGTCGAGCAGTCGAAGGGGAAGGACGACGGCAAGGGGTCCTTGTGGGGCACGGAGTCGCCGATGCCCGTCCACGTGTACCAGCCGTCGTTCGTCCGGGGCTTGACGGCGATGGCGACGGACTGCCACGAGCCGCCGTTCGATACGTCCTTGAGCTCGAGCGTGAACTCGCCGGCGGGCGCGTCGTCCTCCTTGACCTGCCAGGCCATGACGGCGACGGACGGGTACCAGGAGATGCCGATGAGGTGCTCGTTGAGGAACGTCGCGCGCTCGTCGAAGGCCGTGGGAGCGGGCGCGGGGCTCGGCGGCGCCGTGGACCCGTCGCAGCGGTAGTCCTTGCCGTTCTTGTCGACCCAGGCCGGGTCCTTGCAGCGCGCGTAGTTGCGGCCCGCGCGGCCGCCGCACTCGAGGCCCTCGCAGGTGCACTTGCAGCAGTCGCCGCCGTCCCAGCCGCACGCCTCGTTGTTGTAGAGGTCCTTGTCGTCGGAGTCCGCGCCGACGGCGTCGTCGCAGTTGCCGTCGCCGATGCGGTCCGCGTCGCCGTAGCAGACCTCCACGGGGGCCGCCGTCGGGTGGGGGGACACGCTGGGCGGGTGCGTGGCCTTGCGCTCCACCGTGAAGGACGTCGCGAAGCCGGAGCCCCACGCGCCGCCCTTGCACGCGCCCTCGTGGTGCTCGCCGCACTCGGCGTTGCCCGTCGCCGGCGACCCCTTGTAGGGCCCGGCCAGGTAGGCGACGCCGTCGGCGGCCTCGGCGTCCTCCGTCGTGACCTGCATCGCGCCGTCGCCCTCGAGGCAGCAGAGGCCGTCGCCGAAGACGTCGGTCATCTCGAGCTCGTACGCGACGCCGTCGCAGACGTTCTTGACCGTGTCCGTGAACGTCGCGTACTGCTTCGAGTAGGGGCCGCCCTTGGCCATCGACGGCCCGTGGCGGCACTTCGCGCCCTCGTCCGCGTCCTTGAACTTGAGCTTCCACTCGATCTCGCTCGGGTACTTGTCCGTGGTCACGGCGATCTGGATCTTGTTGTCGCAGGGGCCGCAGCCGTAGGGCGTCGGGTTGGGCGTCACGGTGGGCGCCGACGACGTCGGCGCCTTCGTGGGCGCCGGGGAGATGGTCGGCTTGGGCGACGGCGCGCCGTTCGCGCAGCACTCGACGAACTTGCCGCCGTTGACCTGGCCCGCGCCCATCTTGCCCTTGTAGGCCGAGTCCTGGACGTCGTCGATGTTTTTGGCCGTGGTGTAGAGGCAGTCGAGCACGTCCTGGCGCCCCAAAGCGTTGTTCGCGGACCAGCAGACGGCGATCATGCCCGAGATCGTCGGGCAACTGAACGACGTGCCGGACCACTTCTGGTAGCCCTGGCCCGCGTTGCCGCCGCCGATGTAGGTCGAGAGCACGTTGAAGCCCGGCGCGGAGATGTCGATCCAATCGCCGTAGTTGGAGAAGGACGTGCGCTTGTCGTCGTCGTCCGTCGCGGCGACGCCGACGACGGTGTCGAGGCAGCCGGGGAAGTACTGGCCGTCGGAGTCGGAGTTGCCCGCGGCGAAGACGACGATGCCGCCCTTGCCGTCGCGCGCCTCGGCGTTGAACCAGTCGATGGCCTCCTGGACGGACTGGTCGATGACGCCGGGGCTCGTGTAGCCCCAGCTGTTGCTCGAGATCCACGCGCCCGCGTCCGCGCCGTACTTGATCGCGTCCGCGAAGCCGCCCGTGTTCGACTTGCCGAAGCCCACGGACGTCATGAGGCGGATGCCGCCGGCGCCCGCGTCGCCGCCGGCCAAACCCGCGATGCCCAGCTCGTTGTTCCGCGACGCGGCGATCGTGCCGCCGCAGTGCGTGCCGTGACTCGGCGCGCCGCCGTTGCCGACGAGGTTGCCGTCGGGGTCGCCCTTCTTCGAGCCCACGTCGTCGGCGTGGTTGTAGCCGTGGCAGTCGTCGACGAAGCCGTTGGCGTCGCTGTCGCTGCCGTCGCCGTCGCAGTCCGGGCCCTCCCAGATGTTGACCTGGTGCTCCTCGTGGCTGAGGTCGAGGCCCGTGTCGAGCACCTGGACGACGACCTCGGCGACGCCGCCCTCCGGGTGCGCGGCCCAGGCGCCCTCGCAGTCGATGGTCTCGCAGTTGGTCATCTGGGCCCACATGGCGTCGTCCGGCGCGCCCGAGAGCTCGCGGCGGTCGCCGACGACCGCGGAGATCTCCGCCGCGCCGCCGCGCCAGTCTTCGCTGCCCTCGACGTAGGTGAGCTCGATGGAGAAGCCCGGCTCGAGGACGTCCAGCGACCCGATGGCCGACCCCGCGCCCTGGGGCGCGACGCGCGCCTTCTCGAGCGCCGCGGCGGCGCCCGCGCCCCGGACCTTGTTCGCCGCCCTGCGCGCCTCGGCCGTGTTGAGGCCCGCGTGGACGCCCCCGGCGTAGAGCTCGGGCCCGCAGTCCGTCGCGTACCAGCGGTCGAAGCCCCACTCGCGGGACTTGGCCTCCTTCTTGCCGCTCGGCGTGAAGACGCGCGACGCAGGGCCGCAGCCCATCTGCGTCGCGACGTCGCCGGCGGTCTTCGCGTAGTAGTCGTCGAGGTTCGCGACGCCCGCCGGGGCGACCTTCACCTTCATCTTCACGAGGCCGTCGAGGCCCCCGGCCTCGTTGAGCACGTCGAGCTCGTCCGTGGCGAGGAGCGACAGGCTCGACGCGACGGCGGCGACGGCCGAGAACGCGAGGAGACGTCTCATCATTTTGGTCGTGGTCTTCCTACGGGGGGAGGTCTCGCGGCGTGCGTTTGTGGGGGTCGGGGGGGGTCGCGGGGCGGGGGGGTCGACCGCGGGGCGGCCGCCCTCACGCTTAATCCGAGAAACGGCGGCGAGGGGTGAATCGCTCGATCTCGCCCACGACGACGCGAATCGACACGCCCGTTCGTCACGAAGTCGCGAAGGCTTCGGGCGTTCGTGAGAGCGGGGGCGGGGGGGGGCGGTCGCACCTTCGCACGCGCGCGCGCGGCGCGAGCTTGAGGGTGTCGGAGCGAACTCACGCCACTGAATGCTGAGATGCCCTAGTGCCTAGCCTAGCGCCGTGCCTCCGCGGAGGCCCGCGGCCCCCCCGACGCCTCCCCCGCGCCTAGACCCCGCACCACCTTGCCGCTCGCACTCGTCGGCCGCACCCAAGACCCAGTTTCATAGCACGCGCTTACTTCGCACGTTCGAGCGGGCGGGGACCGGAGAGGGGGATCAAAGGGAAGTGAGGGACGCCGAGGGCGAGGGCGTGGGCGCGAGGTCCGCGTAGGAGGCGTAGGTGTCGCCGCACTTGCCGCAGGCGTTGGGGCACGCCGTGTAGCCGTCCACGGCGGCCTTGGACGTCTTGGAGCAGAGGCGGTCGACCTTGGCGTTGTCGGCGATGCGGTCGCCGATCCACGCGCAGTCCTTGTCCTCGGTGTTGAAGTACCACGACGTCGAGTCGACGCAGTCGCCGGGGCAGTAGGGCGTGACGATGGAGATCTTGCCGCTCTTGGCGCCCGTCGCGGCCTTGACGCGCGCGAGGTACGAGGACGAGCAGTCGAAGGGGAAGTCGGCCGTGACGTTTCCGGGCGCGGAGTGGCCGCGCGCGGTCCAGACGTACCAGCCCTCGGCGTTGGGCTTCTTCGCGGTGATGGGGTGGCTCTGCCAGCCGCCGCCGCGCGTCATGTCCCGGAGCTCGAGGAAGAAGTCCGTGGCGGGGTGCGCGGTCGGCGGCGTCTGCCAGGCCAGTATCACGGCGGACGGGAACCAGGACACGCCCACGAGGTGCTCCTTGAGGAAGGTGACCCGCTCGCCGGCGGCCGTGGGCGCGAAGGTCGGCGCGCGGCTGCCGCCCGGCGGCGCGAGGGGCGTGCCGGCGACCGCGTCGAAGCGCACGCCGGCGGCGCCCGCGACGCGGACGTAGCGAAATCCGTCGTCGCCGAGCGACGCGAACTCGACGCCGCGGCCCAGCTGGGGGGCGCCGACGTAGGGGTCGTAGACGTCGAAGAGAGGGGCCACGGGGTCGTCCGTGAAGTCGAGGAACACCGCGCCCGCGGTGCCGCCGTTGAGCTGCGCTATTGTCCCCTCCCACGTCCACGCGTGCATGGCCTCGCCGTTCTGGGTCGTGCCGCCGAGCTCGAGGACGTCCGCCGGGATCTCGAAGGACCCGGCGTAGTGGACGAGCTCCACGGAGAGCGCGAGGTGGAACGTCTCGAAGGTCGTCGCCCTGAGGCCCGAGACGTCGTACGCGTGGACGACGTAGGGGCAGGCGCCCGTGCGCGTGCCGGGCGCGCTGTAGACGTAGTCGCCCGACGGGTGCACGGCCACCGACGCCTGGAAATCGAAGAGGAACTTGTCGTTCAGCGAGCCGTCCGCGTACATCGACGGGTCGCCGCACGCGGCGAGCTTCTTCCACAGGCCCTCGCCGATGCCGAGGCCCGGGCCGACGCCCGGCAGGTCCGCCCCGCCGAGGAGGAGGGGCACCAAGTCCGTGAAGGCGACCAGGGCCTTGCCGTCCGCGTCGAAGTTGTCGTCGTCGAGCGTCGCCGTCGGCAGGACCAAAGGGTACGACGGCCCTGCGAGCGGGCAGCCGTTCCCGTCGAGCTGCATGATCATGACGACGCCCTGCTTCCAGCCCTTGGTCCCGAAGGTGCCCGTCGCGTCCATGGTCGCCGTGTCCGGGGCCCGGCTCGCGGTGAACGCGTAGACGGCGTAGTGGCGCTCAACCCCAAAAACGGTCTGGCGGAACGTGTCGAACATTCCCGCGGACATGCCGTCCGGGAACGCGCCGATGCCGTTGGATTTGCTGAGGCTGAAGGTCGCCGGGCTGCAGACCGCCGTCGGCGCCGCCGGGTCCGAGAAGTCGACGAGGGTCGCCCAGTCGCTCCCTTTCCCGGCGTCGCCCGAGTCGACCGCGTGGAAGTAGGCGAGGTCGGGCCCCGGCTGGGACGCGAATTGCGCGTTGCGGAAGCCCAGGGCCGCGTGGTCGAGGACGGGCGTGAGCCGCGCGCCGCTGAGGGGGTCGAAGACCGCGAGGGGGTCTCCGAAGGACGCGGCGCCGGGCGCCTCCGGCCCCGTCGTCTTGCCGACCCTGAGGGTCGTGGAGCTGTTCAGCGTGACTTCCGTGATGAGGGCCGTGCCCTCGGCGAGCTCGAGGTAGATGAAGGGGAAGTTCGCGGAAGGGAAGTCGTCGGCCGCGACGCCGACCATCGCCGAGACGCTCCCCTCGCCGACGACGACGGCGCCGACGGCGCCCGCCGCGACGCAGTTGAGCAGCTTGTCGCGGAAGTCGCAGGTGCCGCGGTGCACGAGGCAGTACTTGTCCTGGACGTCGGCCTTGGACGCCGCGGAGAACTCGGAGCACCTGGGCAGGACAAGAGAGATTCAACGTCGCTTCAACGTGAGTGTTCCGCGCGCGCGTGTTCCGGAAAAAGCATCCACGCTTCGAGACCGTTCCAAGAGATGATCGCTCGTCCAAAAATCAGCCAAAACGAGTGGAAAACGGCCGAGATATGAGGCTTTGAAGTTTGGAATTTCGCTCTCTTGTCCTGCCCTGCGTAGCACGCCTCGGCGGCCGTCTCGCCGGGCCCCGGCGCCTCCGAGAGCCCGAAGCCGACCAGGGCCTCGACGTCGGCCACGCCCGACGCGAAGAGCGCCGTCGTCATGGCGTAGTCCAGGACCAGGCCCCCCGACGTCCGCGCGTCCTGGGGGCACTTGTTGTTCTCCGACCACTCGCAGTCGCACGCGGGCTCGGCCGTCGCGAAGCCCACCAACATCTTCCGCTCCGTCGACGAAAGCTCGAGCTCCCAGGGCGCCATGTGGGAGCAGGCGAAGTCGAGGGTCGCGTTCGCTTCTAGCGTGAGATTCGCGGCGTCCGCGGCGCCGGAGTAGACCTCGACGTCGCGGCCCGCGGCGACGACGAACTTCGTCGCGCCCGCGGCGTCCGAGAACGCGCCGCCGCGGCGGTAGCCGTCGCCCCCGCTCGGGTAGGCGGGCGTCGACCAGACGCGCCGGGGGTCGGGCGCAAAATCCTCGCCCCGGGCGCCGAGCGCCGCGAGAGCGACGGCGAGGATGTTGCGCGTCATGATATCACCCGGGCGCCGTCGGGGGGCGGACTTCGAGGGTCGGCGCGACGGGGGCGGCGGGGCCCCTTGCCCGTACGAGGCGGCGGGGGGCGGCGCGCGTAGGCCCCGGGCAGAACTGTACTGAGGCTCACGGGGCTTTGGCTGACAAGCGTGCCTCGGAGAACTCGAGCCTCGAGGCTCGGATGGACGCCTCGCACTTCGCCTCGCGACGCGCTCCGCAGTAGCACCTGGGCCACCTCGCCGCCTCGTCCCGACGAGTCCCGACGCTCAGCCTCCAGGCGGCGCCCGCTCCGTCCGAGGACGCGCGCGCCAGCGCGGCCCGACTTCAGAAAGAAGCCTCGCGCGCCGCGGTCCGCGCCGCGCGTCACACTCGCGTGGATGCTTAGGGGTCGGGGGTCGGTCGGGGGGAGGGGGTCGGAAGGCCGCTTGCGGGGGGGCTGGGCGCTCACGCTCACATGCCCATGCGGCTCTTGTCGTACTTGTCGTAGGTCGCGCCGCACTGCTGGCAGGCGTGGGGGCAGGCCTCCGTCGCGGAGACGGCGCTCGCGTCGGTCTTGGCGCAGAGGCGGGTCATGGACGCGCCCTTGATGACGCGGCCCTTGATCCACTTGCAGTCCTTGTAGGTCTGGGCGAAGTACCAGGAGTCGGAGTCGACGCACTCGTCCGGGCAGTAGGGCACGGTGACGACCATCTTCTTGGACTTCTCGCCCGCGAGCGACTTGACGCGGACGAGGTACTCGCGCGAGCAGTCGAAGGGGAACGCGTCGAGGTCGCCCTTGATGGAGTGGCCGTAGGCCTCGTAGAGGTACCAGTGGTCCTTCGTCGGGTCGCCCACGGTGATGGGCACCTCCTCCCAGCCCGTGCCCGCCGTGAGGTCCTTGCGCTCGAGGATCCAGTCGTGCTGGACGGCGCTGTCCGGCGGCGTCTGCCACGCGAGCGCGACGAACGCCGGGCCCCAGGACACGCCGACGACGTGCTCGTTGGAGAAGGCCGCGCGCTCGGCGACGGTCGTCGGCCGCGGCGTCGCGACGGGCGCCTCCGTGGACCCGTCGCAGACCGAGTCCCAGTCGTTCCGGTCGATCCACTTGGGGTCGAGGCACCGCGCGAAGTTGTCGCCGAAGCGGCCGCCGCACTCGGGGCCCTCGCAGGTGCACTTGCAGCAGTCGCCGCCGTCCCAGCCGCAGGCCTCGGAGTTGTAGACCTCGCCCCGCCAGGACCGGTCCTCGCCGCCCGCGAGCCGGCGGCCCGCGCCCTGGCCGAGCGCGTCGTCGGGCCGGTCGCCGACGGGCATGCCGTCGCAGACGCCGTCGCCGACGCGCTCGGCCTCGCCGTAGCAGACGAGGACGGGCGCGGCCGTGGGCCGCGGCGACACGGACGGCGCGTCCGTCGCGGGCTTCTCGAGCTCGAACGCGAACGCAAAGTCCGCGCCGAACGCCGCGCCCTTGCAGTCGCCCTCGTAGGTGCCCACGCACGCAGCGTCGCCCGTGGCGACGGAGCCGGAGAAGCTGCCCTTGGTGAGGAAGCCGTCGCCGTCGTAGGTGCCGTCCTCCTGCTCGAACTTGAAGTAGCCCGCGCCCTGGTCGCAGCAGTTCCCGTCGCCGTAGGCGTCGTGCATGTGGACCTCGTAGCGCGTGGCCACGCAGAGGTTCTTGATGACGTCGGAGTAGACCGTCTCCCCCTGCGTGTAGTCCTTGCCGCCGCCCTCCGTCGACGCGTCGTGCTTGCAGAGGCCCTCGGGGTCGATCATCTTCAATTTCCACGACGTCTCTGAGTGCCACGTGTCGGTCCGGACGACCATGCGGCCCTTGAGGTCGCACTGGCCGCAGCCCAGCACCGTGGGCGCCGGCGACACGGTAGGCGCCGACGACGTCGGCGCGAACGTGGGCTTGAAGGTCACCGTCGGGCTCGCCGTCGGGCCCTGCGCCTGGACGCACGCGGCGAACGGGCCGCCGTTGAGCTGGCCCGCGCCCATCTTGCCCTTGTAGGCCGAGTCCTGGGCGTCGTCGATGTCGCGCGCCGTCGTGTAGAGGCAGTCCAGCAGGTCCTCGCGCGTCATGTCGGGCACGAGCGACCAGCCGAGCGCGAGCATGCCGGAGACCGTCGGGCAGGAGAACGACGTGCCGGACCACTTCTGGTAGCCGTCGCCGGCGTTGCCCTGGCCCACGAAGGTGGAGAGGACGTTGTAGCCCGGCGCGGAGATGTCGATCCAGTCGCCGTAGTTGGAGAAGGACGTGCGCTTGTCGTAGTCGTCCGTCGCGGCGACGCCGACGACCTCGACGCCCATCGCGCCGGGGAGGTAGTTGCCCGCGGAGTTGGAGTTGCCCGCGGCGAAGACGATGAGCATGCCCTGGGCGTAGCCGTACTCGATGGCGGCCTTCTCCGGGCCGCCGATGTAGTCCGGGCCGCCGTAGCCCCACGAGTTGCTCGAGATGTGCGCGCCGTTGTTCGCCGCGTACGTGATGGCCTCGCCGAAGCCGCCCACGGACGTCTTCCCGAAGCCCACGGACGTCATCATGCGCACGCCGTCGTCGCCGCCCCAGCCGCCGGCGAGGCCCGCGATGCCCTTGCCGTTGCCGCGCGATCCCGCGATCGTGCCCGCGCAGTGCGTGCCGTGGCTCTGCGCGCCGCCGTCGCCCAGGCCGTCGCCGTTGGGGTCGCCCTCGGGGATGCCCATGCCGTCGGCGTGGTTGTAGCCGTGGCAGTCGTCGGCGAAGCCGTTGTCGTCGTTGTCGCCGGACTTGCCGCACTCGGCCTCGTTGCGCCAGACGTTGATCTGGTGCTCCTCGTGCGACAGGTCCAGACCCGTGTCGAGGACCTGGACGACGATGCCGGGCTTGCCCGCGCCGTAGGCCCAGGCGCCCGCGGCGTCGATGGCCGGCAGGTTCGTCTGGTCGTCGAGCCGCGGGTCCGCGCCGGGCGCGTCGCGGGGCCGCGGCGTCGGCCGCGGCGTCGGCGACAGGTCCTCGCACGTCCGCTCCTCCGCGAGCGCGGGGCAGACGCCGTCGCCGGCGCTCGCCACCGTGCGGTGGCGCCGCTGGGCCAACAAGTTCGTGGGCTGCACGACGGCCGCGCCGCCGGAGATGTCGGAGACGACGACGCGGCCCGACGGGAAGTAGGGCCAGACGTTCCACGCGCCCTTGTAGGACACGGCGTCGCGCGTCGGGTAGATGTCGAAGAAGGCGACCTCCTCCATCTTGCCGCCGTTGTCCGGCGCCTGGGACCCGTCGAGGATGCGGAGGCCGCCCTCGTAGTTCGCCTGGTAGACGAACGCGCCGCACGAGTACTGGTTGTGGTCGACGACCGTCGCCTCGCCGACGTGCGTCTGCAGGACCTTGGGGTCGGAGAGCTTCTTGATGTCGAGGACGATGGTCTTCGTGTAGGACGTCTCGTCGGTCTCGTCGCCCATGAAGATCGTGTCCTGCGCGCAGTTGAGCCAGCCCTGGTGCGTGTACGACTGGCCGGCGTAGGACAGGGACGAGAGCTTCTGCACGTTGTTCAGGTCGCTGATGTCGTAGATGGCGAAGCCGTTGTAGCCGTGGTAGACGAAGCAGATCTCCTTGCCGTAGTAGGCGTCGTCGGGGCCGCGGTAGAGGAGGCACTGCGCGTCGTGGGTGTGGCCGGAGACGACGCAGCCGATCTCTTTGGGGTTCAGCGCGTCGGTGACGTCGAAGGCGTGGAGGCCGCCGCTGCAGACGTCGCCGCCGACGCAGAACGCGAGGCCCGTCTCGTCGGACACGGCGACGTTGTGGCACGAGCCGACGGCGGCGTAGCGCGCGTCGGGCTCGAAGTAGGCGCCGCTCGGGTTGTGCTTCGGGTGGTCCGGGTCGAGGCGCTCCAAATCGAAGATCTGGACGCCGTGGCCGGACTGCTCGGAGCCGACGAGGAGGTAGTGGTCGTAGGTCTTGACGTCGCGCCAGGTCGAGCTCCCGGAGTTGTGGGCCTTCATCTTGAACTTGACGGCCGGGTCCGCGTCGGACGTGCCCGGGATGCCCATGTCGATGAAGCCGACGCCGGAGCCGCCGCCCTGGATGAGCCACTCGCGGCCGTTCGCGTCGGTCCAGCCCCAGTTCATGTTCATGATGCCGCTCGCGACCTGGGACGCCGGCGTCCACGTGACGAGGTCGACGTCCTTGCAGAGGAACTCGCCGGCCTTGCCGTCCTCGCAGGGCTTGGCGCCGGAGCCCGCCGCGAGCGGGCCCGGGCTCGCGTCGCGCTCCGCGAGCGCCGCGCGCCACTGCGTCACCTTCGTCGCCATGCGCGCGCGCATGCGGCTCATGTCCGGGTCGTAGTCGTGCTCGAGCACGTAGGGCGTCGCGCCCGCGGCCATGAGCCCGTCGGACCGCTTCTTCCAGCCGGGCGACCCGTAGGACCCGAAGTCGCAGCCGTAGTCGAAGTTGCCCTCGCACTTCACGACCTCGCAGTCCTGCGCGTCGGGCCAGTCGCCCCACGCGTTGACCTCGCACTTGGTCTGGGTCTGCTCCGCCATGCGCAGGTTCCGGGACCCGGCCTCCGCCAGGCCCTCCGCGGCCTCCCGAGCCATCGCGACGCCGCGCGCGATCTCCGCGGCGTGGTCGACGTTGTCGGCCATGACGATGGCGTACTCCGGCTCGAGGACCGTGAGCCCGCCGAGGGCGGCCTGGACCGCGGCGTCGTCGGACCGGACCCGGCGGAAGGCCTCGGTGACGGCGAGGCCCGCGCGCTGGAGCGCGGCCGTCGACAGGCCCCGCTCCTCGGCCGACGCGCGGTAGTTGACCCACCGGTTGCCGTCCGCGCAGGGCGCCTCGTACCAGAGGTCGAGGTCCGCGGCCATCATCTTGGGCTCGTGCTTGCCCGAGTGGCGGAAGACGCGCGACGCCTCGCCGCAGCCCATGAGCGAGGACACGGTCGTCGCCTTGGCGGCCTGGAGGCCCACGAGCTCGCCGACTTCGCCGCGCTTGACCTTGAAGCGCACGCCGCCCGTGAGCTGGGCGTCACTCGTGAGGGCCTGGAGCTCCTGTTCGGTGACGAAGCTGAGGGTCTGGGCCGACGCGGTCGTCGCGGCGAGCGCGACGAGCAGTCGCTTCATCGTTTCGTCGAGCGCGTCCTACGCGGGGGGCGCGGGGGTGAGTTCTCTCGCTCGTGGCGGGCAAGGGGGGTGGGGGGGGCGTCGCCCGCGATCCCCGGGAACTTTGGAGCGCTCGGGGGGGCGGCTATCAACCGGAACGGCGACAATCCCTCGATCGAGGTCGGGCGTCGCGTCTGCGTCGTACATCGTCGCGCCACTCGCTCAGGTGGTCGTACAGGGGCCCGGGCGACGAGTGTGGGGGGCGGGGGGTCGCGCGGAGGGCTCTACCTAGAGCGCCGCGCGCGGAAGGGGGGCTCTGCGCTTGATTGAGCGCACGCACCGCAAATCGCAGGTCGCCTTTGGCCAGGGTGTTCTCGCCCCACGAAGCCTCCACGAGAGGCCTCACGAGATCCCACGGGACGCCACCGCGCTCGATCGTCAGGCACGCGCAGGAGCGCGCTGGAGCACGCGGGTCGCTAGGAAACGCGCGTGACCACAAGTAGCTGCTCAAAGACCGCCAACGATCGCGTCGGATCGCCGTCGGTCCTCGCGAAAGCGCCGGGCGGCGACCCCCCAAAACAAAAAACCGACACCATCAATTTACGCCACGACCTCCGTCGCCGCCCGCGGGTACGCGTCCAGCAGCTCCAGGACGAGCGCGTCGGGCGCGGTCGTGAAGATCGTCGCCGGGTAGCAGGCCGTGCCCCACTTCGGGTGCAGGAGCACCTTGCAGCCCGCCGCCTGGCTCACGGCGTACTTGAGCAGGCACTGGTGGCCGCTGACCTCGTCGTAGATGGACGTGCACTCCTTGCAGTGGCAGGGCAAGCCGCTGCAGGGGTCGATGAAGTCGCACCAGTGGCCGCGCGCGGCGAGCGCGCCGCGCAAACTCTCGGCGAAGGCGACGAAGCACTCGAGGCAGCGGTCCTTCTCGACGGCGGCGTCGTCGCCCCAGTTGACGAGCTCCATGGCCGTGTGCTGCGTCGTCGGGAGCGCGAGCACGCGGTCGCTGAGCTTGAGCTTCTTGCCGGAGAACATGTGCTGGAGCTCGCGCATGACGGCGCGCGGCGACGCGTGCACGGAGACCTCGATGGGGATGCCGTCGTGTCGCAGGAGGACCGGAGCGCGGAGCGTGCCCGAGGGCGCAGCGCCGGCGGGCTTCGCCGCGTCTGCAGACGCGACGAGAAGCTCGGCCATCGTCACACTTTGAGCGCTGCAACAATGAGACATTGCAGATTCATCGAAACTGAGCTGGCGCCGCGTAATCCGCACACCTTCGGCTGCCCAATTGGAAACGAGGATCCTCGACCCAGCGATGTCCACTCCCGAGGCCACGACGACGCCCCCCGCGGCCGAGGCCGCGCCCGAGGAGGCGGCCCCGGGCATGATCGCCAAGGTGAAGATGAGCCTCAGCGACTACGCCGTCAAGTACGAGCTCGACAAGAAGTACGAGGCCGTCGTCGCCTACGAGGAGGAGAAGAAGGCCGCGACGATCGAGACCTACGAGTCCCTCAAGGCCTCGACCCTCGAGAAGCTCGAGGCGACGAAGGCGGCCATCAACGAGAAGGTCGTCGAGCCCTACGTCGCGCCGGCCGCCGAGTACGTCGCCGAGACGGCGTCGGCGACGGACGCCAAGGTCCGCGAGACGGCCGCGGCGACGACCAAGTACACCTACGACACGACGCTCACGGCCTACGAGAACGTCGCGAGCTTCCTCTTCAAGATGCAGTGCGCCCTCGGCTCGCGGACCAAGCCTGCGCCCGAGGAGACCGCGGCAGAGGACGAGCCCGCCGCGGAGCCCGCGGCCGTCGCCGCCGTCTGAGCGGCCGGTGTGCCCGCGTCGCGCCGTCGAGCGGCCGCCCGGACGGCGGCCGCGCCTCGCGCCGCGGCGCCTCCCCCCGCTGTATAAATCCGACTCTGTTCTCCTTCTGTGCGTCGCGCGCGGTGGGGTGGGAATCGCGGCCCGCGCGGCTTTGGCCGCCGCCGGCGACGCGACGGCCGCGCCGCCGCGCTCTGGCCGACGGCCGCGCCGACGCGTCGAGGCGCGCGCGGTGGACGCCTCGGGCTGATGTTTGGGGCTGCCGTCCGATGTTGCCTCACAAAAATCTCATCGCGTCGACGCGAGCTGTGTGGGAGGCTGCCGGCGCCTGAACGTCGTCGCTGCGCGCGCGACCGCCGCCGCCGGCACCGCACGCGCGCGTGGGTGCTGCGCCGGCAGCGCACCGCCATGGCGGACCGCCAATCGGTCGAGCGCGGCGACTTCGAGCTGTCGCACGAGACCGTGAAGACCTACGCCGACGACGAGTACAAGAAGGTGCGCGAGCGGTGGCAGCTCGGCGACGACTTCCTGGGCGGCTTCGACTTCGCCGAGCTCAAGGAGGGCGGCGGCAAGGGCGGCAACCTCATGGGCTTCACGAAGGACAAGCAGTACCTCGCGCGCGTCCGGCGCGATCGGGTGAAGATTCGCGCGCGCCGTTTGTCCGCTCACGCCGCCCGCGATGCGCAGGTCAAGGAGGTCAACGCGACGGACCACAACACGATCCTGCGCATCATCCACAAGTACGTCGCGCACCTGCTCGACCCCGAGGGGTCGCTGCTCGCGCGGTTCTTCCTCCACTTCGAGCGCGGCGGCAAGAACTACCTCGTCATGAACAACTGGATGCCGCCGCCGCGTTACACGGAGGTCGACGGCAAGGAGCTCGGCCACGACATCAAGCTGAACTACAGCACCTACGACCTCAAGGGCTGCGCGGACGACAAGACGCTCAAGGTGCACGGCGCGGACGTCGAGGCGGTGCACAAGCGCGTCTTCAACGTCGCCATGTGGCTCGGCACACTCTTCTGGTCGCCGGAGCGCAAGCACTACTACGAGGGCAAGCTCCACGCCCGGGAGACGCAGTTCCCCGTCTCCGTGGCCGCGCACGCGGAGATCGTGCGGAAGACGGCGCGCGACGTGAGGCTGCTCCAGGCCTGCGGCCTCATGGACTACAGCCTCGTCGTGAGCTTCCACGCCATGCCGCGGTCGCAGCTCGCCCTCGCGGAGAGCGTCTACAAGGGCACGGCCGACGGCGGCGCGCAGCCCTTCATCTGCTCCAAGCCCAAGCAGGTCTTCATCTGCTACGTCGGCATCATCGACTTCCTCCAGGACTGGACCGCGGCCAAGGTCGTCGCGAACTGCGTCAAGTTCCTCGAGTGCAACAAGGCGACGATCCCGCCGAAGCCCTACGGCGACCGCTTCCTCAATTTTGTCGAGGGCAAGTTCGTCCCCGAGTGCGAGTGAGCCCGCGCGGCGCGCTTCGGGCGTAACGCGAGCCTCGGGACGACCGAAGCGCCGCACGCGCGGGTTAGAGCCCCTCGACGACGGGGTGCCAGGCCGGCCGGTCCGCGGAGGACCGCGGCGACGGGCCCGCGCGCGGCGAGCCCGCGCGGCGGTACGCGGGCGCGGGCCGCTCGACGTCGTCGTCGTCGTCGTCGTCCGGCCGCCGGCGCGGCGTCGCGCGGTACGCGGGCGCGGGCCGCTCGACGTCGTCGTCGTCGTCGTCGTCCGGCCGCCGGCGCGGCGTCGCCGGCGCCGGCGCCGGCGCGGGCGCCTCGGGCCGCGGCGGGGGCGGCGC